ATTGTCCACTTTTTCTTCCACTATGCTTCTTATAACAATGTTGGACTTCCTAACTTCTTCTTCCAAAATACATATTCTTCTATCCTGTTTTTCATTTTTAAAAAAGATTTCAGTTATTTGCTTATCAATTTTTTTTGTTTGCACTTGTAGTTGGTCTACATTATCTTTTATCACTGTTACTTCTGCTGTGTATTTAGCAAAATTAACATTAATTTCTTGAACAATTTGTTCCAGCTAGTTGGATCTTTCCTTCTTTTCTTCATCCATTTTTAAATGTATTTTTTGAAATTCTGTATCCATTATTTCAATTTTATCACTTAATTTGTTTAATGCCAATACAATTTGAGCTGAGTCAATACTAGCTTGAGAAATCTGTTTGACCTTAGGTCGCACCGATTCATCTTTAGATGGATCCATCTTAATAACTCCTGTAATTTTTGACCAAAAATTTCTATAACTTTATTCACAGTTCAAAATCAATGGGTCATCAACTTGTATTTAAGATGTTAAATTATTGTAGAGGAAAATCTTTAATCCTCAATTCTGTACCACAGATACTCGGAAGGGTCTTTTCAGAAGGACTTGGGCATATTTTACTTTCACTTTAAGAAGCCAGAGACGACAAATAAAGTATTAAAGAGTCCCAAATTTAAAAAAAGTTGAAAGTCCAAGTTATTGAAGGCTTGCTTACAATTGCTTCTTGCGCCAGAGGCAGTGTAAAATACAAACAGTGAAATTCCTGTAGTCATGTTAATCAAGATCAGTTACACTCCTCAGCGCCATTTTGCCCTTCTGCGAACTTCAAACAGCAAACATGCTTTAGATTACTTTAAGACTTTTAACTTTTAGTCCACAATTTTCACAGCATCTTCAAAAAAAAAAGGGATAATTTTTCAAATTTTCAGACGATCCCACAAACAAACCATTTAAATATTCGGCTGTTCCAAAAAAAAGGTTCCTGTTCTCCACATTTATGTCGACTCCAACATTCAGGCAGCTCTCATATATCTTATTTTTATCTTATTCAAACATAGCAATAAAACTTAGTTTGCTGCCCTTCACCCTGTCGACATCTTTTGCGAATCCAACTCACAGTTAAATTCTAATTTATTGTTTTTCAGACATCTTTAAATCATCGTCTCGCCGTTTCATCACCCCCTCTGCTCACTTTTATCCCTCAAAGGGAAAGCACTTTAAAAGAAAACCTCAATTAAAAGCAGTTCAGGGTGACTAACCACATCAATCTTAGTCCATCCAAGACAGGAACTCTTCAATAACGCACCTAGTTGTTATCGGACTTCAAAAATGCTGTTTATTTTATTTTCATCCGCTTTCAATTTTCCATATGCCGCAGAGAGACGAAGACAATGTCTTCTAAGCCACAGCCATGAACACGCCCCCATTTATTTAAAAATTTAAACAAAGTTTATCTTTGAACATTTTTGCCAATCTTTCCGGTGACATGTTTTATAGTTGGCACATGTCACCGGATATAGATTGGAAAAAATGTTCAAAGATAAATCAGCTAAATGTTGGAAATGCCACCAGACATCGGGATCGTACTATCACATGTGGTGGACATGTCCAGAAGTGAGAAATTATTGGGCACAATAATCACAATAATCACAAAAACTGATACAGCAACACATTGATCTTAAACCGGAGCTGTTCCTGTTGGGTATCTAACCAGAGAAATTTAGTAGAGAAAATACATATTTGATTATACATGTAATAAAGGCAACAAGAATGGTATTTGCACAAAATTGGGAAGCAGAAAAAATTCCTACAAAGGGAGAGCTAATTAAGAAAATATTAGAATGTGCAGAAATGAGTAGATTAATATTAGCAATTAGTGGGAAGGAAGAATCGGAGTGTTACAGCATATGGGGGCAATTTTATCAATGGATAGAGACTGAATATAGACAATAGGCAATGTAAAAATAAAAATAAATAAATAAGAAATATGGGGGAAATATATTTATTTCATACATTAAATTCACAATACATTAAATTCAAATGTAAGAAGAAAGATAATTATGTATTAAGAAAATGATGATACATGTTGAATATGATGACACGGAAGCTCCACTCATTAATGTAGCTCTGGATAAACTTCCCATCACACCCTTTGTGTTGCCATGTTGTTTTGTGCTTTTTTCCATCATCCCAGGTGAGCTCCCTCCATTATTTCTGCTTAGGTGAGGCATCTTTTTCTGAATTTCAAAGCAATATAGCAATCCAGGACAAAATCCTGTCTCCCTTGAACGAGTTCTACCAAAACAAAATATTGCATAGCTTTGAAGGGAAAAAATAATAAGGATATAATAAAGAATACTAGAATATGATATACTGGTATACCAGATTCTGTAACCATGAGGTTCCTGTAATACATATATGCCTTTGCATTTGAATCACATATATTATGCCTTTATGTATCTCCTGTAACAAACACATTCTGTTATTAGGCCTCTGCAATGTCTCTGGTATTTGTCAAACATTTGTTCCTGCCATTTGATCTGAACCCATATCCATCTTCTTCCTGTTTTTCTTGTGCCATCTAAGAGCATGGTAGGCATCTCAGCTGGAACTGCAGACATCATCATCCGAGGGATAATTTACACTTCAGCCCTAACTTACACCTTTGATCTGTTCCCTGCAGCCCAGGGGGCCAAATGAGCAATTGGGAGAACAAAGGAAGAGATAAGGCTAATTGGGAGGCTTCTATTCCCTTGCAGGGCAACAAGGAATACACAAAGCTAAACTAGGAGGCCAGAATTAGGTACTAAGCTGATGTCTCTGAGGGTGTAAAAGGACGCCATACCTTCCCCAAGGGGTGCCTATCTCCTCGCATGCATTGTATCTGTATGTTCCGGATATAGTCCCACCCAGTATTTTGGTTTTGGCCATGAATAAAATCTGCTTTTTTTTGCAAGCCTCATCTTGAGTCTCTCTTTGGCATTCTGGTGACTCAAGTATATTTTTGGGACCCAGAAAGAAACCAACTTAGATCCTTTCAAAATTGCATGATTTCCTGCTCCCTTTTTCCAACAATGAGCTATTGATTTCTATGAGGAAATTCACCAGCAGGAACCATTGGCAGGAGATTCGGAGCCTCCAGTCCTCTTTAACTGGAGCTGCTCAGCTTTTGTGCAGGAATTCCTAGTTCTTCTACCTAGGAACAAGAATTGTCCTGGATCAAATAGTTGATGCTGCTGAGAAACACACTTGAGAGAGTCACATGGAGAGAGTATAGTTATTTATTTGCAACCTGCCTTTCTTACTTTTACTGATAAGGTGGAGAACAAATCCAAGAAAATGAAGGGGAATATTTGTAGCTGAGGGTTGCCATGAGGGGTCTCTCTCGCTTCTAGCAAAGATGATGTTAGTTTGGGCAATGAAACGTCTGCAAGAAGAGAAGCCCCCAGGAGCCCCTCCCCCCTCACGTCCAGCACAGCTTCCTCCTCTCTTCCCCCAACAACAACCCTGTGAGGTGGGCTGGACTGAAAGAGCGGCTGATTCAAACTCAGGGTCTCCTAAGGTCCCAGAATAGACCCAACTGGCTCCCCTTCATGGACTGGTATAAGGTCGCATCCCCAGAAGAGCCCCTGACCTCCGCTGGCCTCAATACGGAGGTGGGGGGAGGGGGGAGACTGGACTCCAACGTTCAAAGGGAGCCCCCTCCCTTCCCATCTCCCCTCCAACGTAATAAAAATAAAATGAATTAAAATGTAATTTAAATGTAATTTTAAAAAAACCATCAAAGAAAAACCTGGGGCCAATCCATGCCACCTTCTCCTTGTCTGATCTCCCAGCGCCTGGGGAAAAGCCAGGGGTTTTAAGGCTAAAAGGGTGGGGGATTTTTAAGAATATGGCTCATATCTCACAAAGCTTCCTTGGCCTTAGAGAGTCCCTTTAGCAGTTTCTGCTGGAAGACAAGGGGACTGTTGAGAGAATCCAATTGACAAGAGTTTCTGATGTCTGGGGAGGGTCTTACATGGTATGGACAGTTCACACCCCCAACAAAGGAGGACAAATTAGCCCTAGATTCAGCCACAGCACACTTGCTCCAATGAGGATCTGAGTGGGATGACCATTTAAAGGCAATTTATTAAGAGTATTGTAGCAAAGAGATTTCCCTCAATGAAAAGAAGGAATCCAGGACGCAGAATCAGGTTTCATTTTATACTCCACAACAGTAGAAAAAGTAAAAAGTTGATTGCATGGAAAAAATCAGTGTCGACAACAATCTATTTTAAAATATGAAAATCAGTTTTTTTTTTAACTTAAATCATTTTTTTTTATTTTTATCAAATTCATTTTAATAAAATGCTTTTGGAGTAAAAATCTATTTAAAGATAATTTTCTATCAAACAACGGCAGGGAGAAGCTCTTTAACACCCAGAACAATAAAGTTCAAATGAGCCCTAGATTTCAGCCACAGCACACTTGCTCCAATGAGGATCTGAGTGGGATGAGCATTCAAAGGCAATTTATTAGAATATTGTAGCAAAGAGATCTCCCTCAATGAAAAGAGAGAATCCAGGACACAGAGCGACTGATTCAAACTCAGGGTCTCCGAAGGTCCCACAATAGACCCAACTGGCTGCCCTTCATGGGCTGATATGAATCCTCCCCCCCCCTCCGTCCCCCCTCCGCCCCAACCGTAATAACCTGCGGCACTGAGCAGGCGCCACTGCCTTGTTGCAGGAAGAAGGACGCTGATTGGTCGCGCTCGGGATGTCGGCGATGGGCAGGAGGACTCCGAGGGGCGGATCCTCCAAAGGAAAAGGCGGAATTAGTGGAGAGAAAAGGGCATGAAGCCTCCACTTCCGGAAACAAAATGGGCAACGAGGGAAGCAGCCTGAATCAGCGATAGAGGAGGCCGTTTGATGCAGGTTGGCACAGGGGATGCTGGGAGTTGAAGTCCGGGAGGGTCTCTCCAGTGGCCTGGGAGCCTGAGGCCTAGTCTTGAGGGCGGGGACGGAGACGGGAGGTTGGGAGAGTGTCCGTGTCCGCCTGGAGAATGCCTGAAAGGCCCATGGGAGGCAGGGTCTTGGGCCTGGGTCTCCCCTGCGGGAAAGGGGATGCAGCCGTGACCCTCTTCTCTTTCTCCCCTGCAGGAGGACGGAGGATGGCGGCGGATGCAGGAAAGAGGCGCCGCCTGAGAGGAGGAGGAGGAGAGCGGGACCTGCAGAGCAGCCCTGCCCGGTCCCGGCGCGGCTTCCCCGGGAGACAGTGGGGAAAGGCCGGGGGCTCCGGGGCTGCAGGAGGGAGGAGCCCAGGGGAGGAGGAAACGGGCGGAGACCCCGAGACGGACCTGCAGGGCGGAGGCTCCTTCGGAAGACTCCGAAAGTCTCAAAGGATCCAGGAGGGAGGAAAGGAACATCAGTGCCCGGAATGTGGAAAAACCTTCAAAACAAACGGAAATCTTGAAAACCATTTAAAAATCCACACAGCAGAGAAACCATTTAAATGCCCGGAATGTGAAAAATCCTTCAGAACAAATGGACGTTTTGAAAACCATCTAAAAAACCACTCAGTTGGAAACCGATATCAATGCCTGGAGTGTGGAAAGAGCTTCAGTCAGAGGGGAGATCTTTATAGACATCAAAGGATCCACACAGGAGAGAAACCACATAAGTGTCTGGTAAGAAAGGTAATAAAATCCAATTAAAACTTTCACTTTTAATAAATTTAATACATTTTTTTCTTTTAATAAATTCCTTTAGTCTTCCAGGGCCATGCCCAGGGTCCCAGACCTGAGTTTGACTGCTGTCGGTCATTCTGATGGCGACTAGCAGAGCAGGCTGTCCTGGGAGGGGCGGGAGGCCTTGTATGAGTCTGGATGGTGGTTCAGGAATGTTGGATTCTCTCTCTCTCTCTCTTTTTTTATTTAAAAAGTTTTACAAATACATTTTCTCCCCAATTTCCATCCCCCCAAACCCTCCCTAACCCTCCCCTTTCCCCCCCAGGACTTCCACAAAATAAAATGCTAATCGAGAATACAGTTTTGTGAAACTTAAACCCCTCCACCCCCTGTATACTATTTATACCTTCATAAAACTCAATTAATCTATCCCTACATAATACATTCATTCAGCTAAAAGCTATCTGATATTTCCTAGTTTGATATTTATTCTGCACATAATCTATCCACTTTTTCCACTTCCATACATAAGACTCTTGAGTTCGGTCTTTTAAATATGCTGAAATCTTCGCCATCTCTGCAAAACTGGCCATCTTCAAAGTCCATTCTTCAATAGTGGGCATAGCTTCATTTTTCCAGTATTGACCTATCAATAATCTCGCTGCTGTCACCATATACAATATCAGCTTTGTTTCACCCAAAGTAAAACCCTTAACTATACCCAATAGAAACAGTTGTGGAGCAAACTGAAGTTTTTTCTTCAAAACATTTTGCATAACGCACCAAATTTTTATCCAAAAAGCCTTCACTTTCTTACAAGTCCACCACATATGATAATATGTGGCATCTATGCAATCACATCTCCAGCATTTTGGTTGAACATTAGGATACATACACGATAATTTCTTAGGATCTAAATGCCACCTATAAAACATTTTATAAAAATTTTCCCTCAGATTCTGCGACTGTGTAAATTTAACATTCTAGACCCATATTTTTTCCCATGTTTCCAACATCACTGGTTCTGCAAAATTTTGTGCCCACTTTATCATACAATCTTTAACCAATTCATTTTCCGAATCCCTTTCTAGCAAACCCTCTTAATATGCATTGGACCTTTCTCTCTTATATGTCTAACCAATTCTTCTTCATGCATCATTATACCAGTTTTTTTTATCTTCTTTCCATCTCAGTTGAAGTTGATTATACTGTAGCCAAGTTAAATTAATCCCTTCTTCCAACAGTATTTCTAATGTCTTTAATTGCCATCTGCCCCCATCCATAAAAAGAACTTCTTTGTATAACCCCCCCCACCCGAGTGACATTATATTTGTATTCCACATGATATGACCAAGATCCAGCCATAATGGTATTTTGTAATCCCATTTGAATCGGTGCTTCTTCCAAACTCTCATCAAAGAGTTCCTAAGAATGCGGCTTTTGAATACTTTATCCACTTTGTTCTCATAGAATAAATATGCATGCCAACCAAATTCAAGATCATGACTTTCTATATTCAATATTCCAGTCTTTATCCTTCCAAACCAATCACTTGCTTGCGTCAAAGCTGCTGCTTCATAATACAATTGTAGGTTTGGAAGTTTAAGGCCTCCCCTTTCTGGAACATCTTGCATAATTTTCAGTTTGACTCTTGGCTTTTTCTCATTCCAGACAAACTTATTCAGTCCATTTTGCCATTCTCTCAATTGCTTATCACTTTTAAGCACCGGAATCATTTGAAACAAAAAGAGAAATCTAGGCAAAACGTTCATCTTAACTGCTGCTATTCTTCCAAGTAGCGACAGTTGCAGTTTTTTCCACGTCTCCAAATCCTTTTGTACCTCTCGCCACAACACCTCATAATTATTTTGAAATAATTTTATATTTGAGTCTGCAACTTGTACTCCTAAATATTTAACTTTTGATACTATTTCAAAGCCTGCCTTGCTTTCAAGTTCCTGCTTATGATCTTGTGTCATATTTTGAACAATCATCTTAGTCTTTTTCTGGTTCAGTCTAAATCCTGATATCATACCATATTCTTTTATAATGTCTTTCATCTGAATTATTGATTCCATCGGCTGTGTTAGGGTAAAAACCAGATCATCTGCAAATGCCTTGGTCCTATAATCCTCATGCCTAATAGCTATGCCATGTAATAAGTTTGAATCCCGCATTGTATTCAACAAGACTTCTAATGTTAGAATAAATAACAATGGGGATAACGGAAAACCTTGTCTTGTTCCTTTTTCAATACTAAAATTTGTAGTCAGACTTCCATTAATAATAATTTGTGCCATTTGTTGTTGATAAATTGCTGAAACCGCCTGTTAGACTTTGAAGTTAAACTCTGTGCAGCTCCCAGAAAGCCATTTTAAAAACAAAGAAACAAACAAAAACCTGGGGGCCAATCCATGCCAGCTTCTCCTTGTCTGACCTCCCAACACCTGGGGAAGAGGCAGGTGTTTTAAGGCTAAAAGGGTGGGGGCTTTTTAAGAATATGGCTCATATCTCACAAAGCTTCCTTGGCCTCAGAGAGTCCCTTGTAGGGGTTTCTGCTGGAAGACAAGGGGACCATTCAGGGAATCCAACTGAGAGCTTCAGATGCTTGGGGATGGTCTTAATAGGTCCCCACATTTGGGAAATCCACATAGATTATATCAAACAATGGCAGGGAGAAGCTCCTTCCCACCCCCAACAATGAAGGCCAAATGAGCCCTAGATTCAGCCACAGCACACTTGCTTCAATGAGGATCTGAGTGGGATGAGCATTCAAAGGCAATTTATTAAGGAAAGGGATTTCCCTCAATGAAAAGAGGGAATCCAGGACACAAAGAGCGGCTGATTCAAACTCAGGGTCTCCTAAGGTCCCAGAATAGACCCAACTGGCTGCCCTTCATGGGCTGATATAAGGCTTCAACTCCTGACCTCCGCCAGCCTCAATACGGGGGGGGGATCAGACCCGACCCCAAAGTTTAAGAAGGCCGCTGATTGGTCTTGCTCGGGATGTCAACGATTGGCAAATGGACTCTGAGTGGCAGTTCCTCCAAAGGAAAAGGCGGAACTAGTGGAGAAAAAAGCCTCCACTTCCGGAAGCCTCCACTTCCGGAAACAAAATGGGCAACGAAGGAAGCTGCCTGAATCGGCGATAGAGGAGGCCATTTGATGCAGGTTTGGCGCAGGGGATGCTGGGAATCGTAGTCCGGGAGAGTTTTTCTGGTCCGCACGAGGGGGGGGGGCTTGGGCCTGGGCTGCCCCTGCGGGGAACGGGATGCAGCCATCACCCTCTTCTCTTTCTCCCCTGCAGGATGGCGGCGGATGCAGGAAAGAAGCGGCGGCCGAGAGGAGGAGGAGGAGAGCGGGCCCTGGCATGGCTTCCCCGGAAGACGGCAGGGAAAGGCCGGGGGGCTCCGGGGCTGCAGGAGGGAGGAGCCCAGGGGGAGCCCGGGAAAGGCGGCTGCCTGGAGGGCGATGCGGGGAGGAGGAAACAGGCGGAGACCCCGAGACGGGGCTGGAGGGCGGAGGCTCCTTTGGAAGACCCCGAAAGCCCCAGAGGATCCAGGAGAAAGCAAAGAAACATCAGTGCCTGGAATGTGGAAAAACCTTCAAAACAAACGGAAATCTTCAAAGGCATCTAATTATCCACACAGGAGAAAAACCTAAGTGCCTGGAGTGTGGAAAGAGCTTCAGTGATAGGAGCAACCTTTATACACATCAAAGAATCCACTCAGGAGAAAAACCTCATAAATGCCTTGAGTGTGGAAAGAGCTTCAGTCAGAGGAGCGACCTTTATAAACATCAAAGGATCCATTCTGGAGAGAAACCTCATAAGTGCCTGGAGTGTGGAAAGAGCTTCAGTCAGAGGAACGACCTTTATAAACATCAAAGGATCCATTCTGGAGAGAAACCTCATAAGTGCCTGGAGTGTGGAAAGAGCTTCAGTCAGAGTAGCCACCTGTATACACATCAAAGGATCCACTCAGGAGAAAAACCTCACAAGTGCCTGGAGTGTAGAAAGAGCTTCAGTCAGAGTAGCCACCTGTATACACATCAAAGGATCCACTCAGGAGAAAAGCCTCATAAATGCTTTGAGTGTGGAAAGAGCTTCAGTGAGAGGGGACATCTTTATAGACATCAAAGGATCCACTCGGGAGAAAAACCTCATAAGTGCCTGGAGTGTGAAAAGATCTTCACTCAGAGGAGCAACCTTTATACACATCAAAGGATCCACTCAGGAGAAAAACCTCATAAGTGCCTGGTGTGTGGAAAGCGCTTTAATCGGAGGAGCGACCTTTATAAACATCAAAGGATCCATTCTGGAGAAAAACCTCATAAATGCCTTGAGTGTGGAAAGAGCTTCAGTCAGAGGAGCGACCTTTATAAACATCAAAGGATCCATTCTGGAGAGAAACCTCATAAATGCCTTGAGTGTGGAAAGAGCTTCAGTCAGAGGAGCGACCTTTATAAACATCAAAGGATCCATTCTGGAGAGAAACCTCATAAATGCCTTGAGTGTGGAAAGAGCTTCAGTCAGAGGAGCGACCTTTATAAACATCAAAGGATCCATTCTGGAGAAAAACCTCATAAATGCCTTGAGTGTGGAAAGAGCTTCAGTCAGAGGAGTGACCTTTATAAACATCAAAGGATCCACTCAGGAGAGAAACCTCATAAGTGCCTGGAGTGTGGAAAGAGTTTCAGTCAGAGTAGCCACCTGTATACACATCAAAGGATCCACTCATGAGAAAAGCCTCATAAATGCTTTGAGTGTGGAAAGAGCTTCAGTGAGAGGGGACATCTTTATATACATCAAAGGATCCACTCAGGAGAGAAACCTCATAAGTGCCTGGTGTGTGGAAAGCGCTTTAGTCGGAGGAGCAACCTTTATACACATCAAAGGATCCACTCAGGAGAAAAATCTCATAAGTGCCTTGAGTGTGGAAAGAGCTTCAGTCAGAGGAGAACCCTTTATACACATCAAAGGATCCACTCAGGAGAAAAACCTCATAAATGCCTTGAGTGTGGAAAGAGCTTCAGTCAGAGGAGCGACCTTTATAAACATCAAAGGATCCATTCTGGAGAAAAACCTCATAAATGCCTTGAGTGTGGAAAGAGCTTCAGTCAGAGGAGCGACCTTTATAAACATCAAAGGATCCATTCTGGAGAGAAACCTCATAAATGCCTTGAGTGTGGAAAGAGCTTCAGTGAGAGGGGACATCTTTATATACATCAAAGGATCCACTCAGGAGAAAAACCTCATAAATGCCTGGAGTGTGGAAAGAGCTATACTGAGCGTAGTAGCCTCAATCGACACCTAAGAATTCACGTGGGAGAAAAATGATAAACACGCCTGAGTGTGCGAAGACCTTCAGTCACGGTATATCTCAGGAATTGAATTGTATATTTATTTTGGCCAACTGTGAATAGACACATTAGGAATTCACTTAGTGCATATTCATGATAATTATAATAATTCCAATATGAGGAATTATTTATCTTTACTCCAAATGTGTAAAGAAGACAATAAGGGTAAATAATAACTGCCAAATAAGGGACTTTCTCAGGCTGAATAATAAAGGACTGTTTCAATTGTACATGCTAGATTTTTCAACTGGTCTAAATTGTACCTTTTCACAAGAGACATGCCATTTCCCATGTGAATGTTCTTTTAATGCTTATGCTTAATATTATGGGATGTTACTGTCCGTGTCTCTGATGTAAGTGTTAACTTGAGCAGGGTGATTTCTTCCATGCAATCAGCTCTTGTTTTGTATTTTTTTTTCTACTGTATGGAGTATACAATGAAACCCGATTCTGTGTCCTGGATTCCCTCTTTTCATTAAGGGAAATCTCTTTGCTACAATATTCTAATAAATTGCCTTTAAATTTACAGTCCCAGACTGTATCTCAGGAATTGAACTGAATTGAATTTTTAATTTCGCCAACTGTGAATAGACACACAAGGAATTTTTCTCCAGTTCACAAGCTCTCAGTGTATGTACAAAGCATCAGAATAATTATATAATTATAACAATTCGAATAAGAGGAATTATTTATTTATCTTTTCTTCAATTGAGTAAAGAAGGGTTAATAATAACTGCCAAATAAGGGACTTTCTCAGGCTGAATAATAAAGGACTTTTTCTATTGTCCCTGCCATGATGGATGTGAAATGACAGGTGCTCTTTATTAGTATATTTAGAAGCTGCTTAGAAGGTTTCACTTCCATTTTTACTGCTTGCCCTTCCCCCTCACACTTAGAGGCTGAGGGTACAGATGCATTTCTCTTGAAACAGTCATACAGTTTGCAGTCTACATACAGTATATTTGAAGAAAAATGGGGAAAAGGAATATTCCTGCCCTTGCTTTATGAGTTATCTCATGGTTACTGTGAAACTCTGTGGATGTATCAATGCAGTGCATGTTATTTCAGCTTGCGGTGCTTGGATTCATTGAATGAGTTTACCAAAAATGTAAATATTGCAGAATATACAGCTTCATGCTACATAACTAAGCTCCATTTCAACCTGAATAAACTAAATTATTAATGTATCTTAAATGGAAAATTATCTTTATGATTCTTGATGAACGTATCTTTTCTTTTATGTACACTGAGAGCATATGCACCAAGACAAATTCCTTGTGAGTCCGATCACACTTGGCCAATAAAATATTCTATTCTATTCTATTCGAATATCCCAACTTTTTCTATTGTATGGAGTATGAAAAGAAACCCGATTCTGTGTCCTAGGGAGGGACACAGGCGCTGGGAGATCAGACAAGGAGAAGGTGGCATGGATTGGCGCCTGGCTTTTCTTTGTTTTTATTTTCCATGTTTTAATGTGTTGTATTGTTTTTAAAACAGCTTTTGGGGAGCTGCAGTGAGTTGACTGAATGATGGGCAGTTAAAAGAATGCTTTAAGTGACTCATTGGGGACCTCTTTGATCCCCCACTAGGTGCAGAGACTGGGTGTCCCCCAGTTGTCAGGATAAAGTCCCCCATTACTAGGCTTTCTCTTCATCAGCTAAATCGGCATCCGCCTTCCTTCAAGCAGCCAGAGGGCGCCTGCACAAGTCCCGAGTCTCGCGTAAAGGTGAGGCAGGGGGGGCTCCCTTTCATCTTTGGGGTCCGGTCTCTCCTTCGGGGGGCCCCTCCCGCATTCTGGCAGGCAGAGGTTGAGGGGCCCTTCTGGGACTGGGACTCCCCCCCCATCCAGGCTCCCTCCCTAGGCAAGGTGGGGGGGCAGAGGTTGGAGGGGCACCCAGGCAGGTAAGAGGCCAAATGGGCATTTTCCCCCTTGCAATACAACTCTGGTAAATTGGCTGCAAATAGAGGGAGGATTTCCCAGAGTCCAGGAGCCCTTCAGAAACCAACCCACCTCTTGGAAGGCACCTTCACTCTGATAACTGATGGTAACTGGCAGTTGAGCCTGCATGGGTGAGGTCATGAAGCCCTCAGAATTCCCTCAGAGATGGCAGGCCTCCCTTGGCCTCCTCCCAAAGCTCACCTGCTCCGCCTTTTCCACACCCACCAATGCCAGGCAAATGTCTGAAGGAGGCGACCAAACCAATCACTCAAGCTGCCCAGTTCTCATATTTTTGCCCAAAAGGCAGATTTTTGGATATAGACTGCCTCTGTCAAGGGAAGCTCCACTCTCTCTCTCTTTTTTTTTTTTTTGAGAAAAAAAATATTTTTTTTTAAACAAACAATTCATCATTAATCAGTGTAACATCTTGGTACAACATTCATTTAAAAATTTAAACAAAGTTTATCTTTGAACATTTTTGCCAATCTTTCTGGTGACATGTTTTATAGATGGCACATGTCACCGGATATAGATTGGCAAAAATGTTCAAAGATAAATCAGCTAAATTTTGGAAATGCCACCAGACATTGGGATCGTACTATCACATGTGGTGGACATGTCCAGAAGCGAGAAATTATTGGGCACAATAATCACAAAAACTGATACAGCAACACATTGATCTTAAGCCGGAGCTGTTCCTGTTGGGTATCTAACCGGAGAAATTTAGTAGAGAAAATACATATTTGATTATTCATGTAATAAAGGCAGCAAGAATGGTATTTGCACAAAATTGGGAAGCAGAAAAAAATTCCTACAAAGGGAGAGCTAATTAAGAAAATATTAGAATGTGCAGAAATGAATAGATTAATATTAGCAATTAGTGGGAAGGAGGAATCGGAGTGTTACAGCATATGGGGGCAATTTTATCAATGGATAGAGACTGAATATAGGCAATAGGCAATGTAAAAATAAGAAATATGGGGAAAATTTGTTGCAATACATTAAATTTAAATGTAAGAGGAAAGATAAATATGTTCTAAGAAAATGATGATACATGTTGAATATGATGACACGGAAGCTCCACTCATTAATGTGGCTCTGGATAAACTTCTCATCACACCCTTTGTGTTGCCATGTTGTTTTGTGCTTTGTTCCATCATCCCAGGTGAGCTCCCTCCATTATTTCTGCTTAGGTGAGGCAACTTTTTCTGAATCCCAAAGTAATACAGCAATCCAGGACAGAAAGCAAAATCCCGTCTCCCTTGAACCACTTCTGCCAAAACAAAATACTGCAGAGCTTAATGATGCTGAACCCCCAAGGCACATGACCCTCTTTTGGCCAAGTTCCAAGTGTTGAGGGATCCAGCAGTTATGAGTATGAGAAAATGAGAACACCCGGCTGTTTTTCCTGTTACTTTTAATTATTGGTTGATGAATTTGAATCATGTCTTAATCTCCAAACTCAGGCACCAAGTTTGTTGTGGAGCTGAAAAGGACTTGAGATCCTGAATTTGAAACTTTTACCTTTGCAAATGTGTTTCTTTGCCCACCTGAAAATACAGATCATCAGTTAATTCAAGCAAAGCAAAAACATTCATGTTTTTAAAGAGGGTACAGAAAGAAATGATACATGTATTCAGTGTCAGTAAACAAATGATGTGTAAGGATCGCCTCTCCTTCCAACTTAAGAAAGTACGAACTCTTGAAACGTAGTTGTTCAAAAGGATTCTTTTATTAAGCAGAAGTGAAAACCATCCAGTTAAAGCACAATCTGAATGCCCTTAGGCAAAGCAGTAGGATTAAAGTGGTAGAGACCCCTCCCTTTAGGTCAGAATGCGGATTTCAGCCAATACACAAGTGTGAAGATGTTTTCTTTACTATTTCCTTTGAGAACCCGAACACACATGCATTCCCACCACTTCCCTTTAAAGTGAGACAACCCACATGGCTATCATATAAATTCCTGCAGGTAAAGGGAATCTCAGGCTTCCTTGGCGCCAGGATATAGGTTGTAAAATATCTGATGACACAGGCCATGCTAGTAAATCGAATCCACATCCCCCCTTCCTTCACTTGAATGGCAGTATCACTTTTAGGGATCTGACATGCTACCCTCCTTAGAAAACAAAAGGGTCCACCTGTAAAAAAACAAAAACAAATATACACAAGATTTCATGATAGTAGATCAACAAGGTTTGTTAGGGTGTTGGGAGTGAAATTTTCTCAGTAAGATCGGAGCCCTAACGTGGTGTTTGGCGACCCATTCATTGTGTGCTGATGGTAGATGTTTCCAAGCAACTAAGTATTGGACTTTCCCTCTGTGGATCCTAGAATCAAGGATTTCCTTGATTTCAAAGTGTTGTTCACCTTCAATCATGATGGGAACGGGTGGTGTAGATGCAGGTGGTCTGAGGGATGAGATTACTTCTCGTTTGAGTAAACTGATATGGAATACTGGGTGGATCTGCCTGAGTGTCTTTGGAAGAAGTAGTTCAACTGCTACTGGATTGATGATTCTAGTGATGGGGAAAGGTCCAGTGAACTTTGGCCCTAGTTTCTTTGATGGTTGTAATGATTTCAAGAATTTTGTAGATAAGTATACTCTGTCTCCAATATGAAAAGGTTTGGGTTCCATCCTTTTCTTGTCAGCTTGAATCTTAAAAGCTTCTCTAGCTTCCTGTAAGGCTAATCTAACCACTGGCCACGTGTTTCGCAAATTATCCATCCACTCCTTAAGTGAGGGGATGGTGGGTTCTTCTGTGGGTAGTTCAGGCATGGGGCTGAAATCCTGGCCTGTTGCTACTCTAAAAGGGGTAAAACCAGTGCTTGAATGGACAGCATTATTAAACGCAACTTCAGCAAAAGGCAAAAGTTCGGTCCAGTTATCCTGTTGAAAATTAATGAAACACCTTAAAATATTGTTCTAGTACCGAGTTCAAAATTTCAGAATTACCATTAGTACAAGGATGAAAGGATGTGCTCAACCCCTGGCCAGTACCAAGTAAGCCCAAAAACGCCCTCCAAAAGTTGGAGGTGAATTGAGCCCCTCTGTCGGATATGATCCTTTGTGGAGCACCATGAAGTCGATAAATGTGTATTAGGAATAATTTGGCTAAACTTTTAGCAGTTGGGATCTTTTGGCAGGGTATAAAATGTGCCTGTTTTGAAAATAGGTCTGTCACAACCCAAATAACAGTATTTCCCTCACTGTTTGGCAATTCCACGATGAAATCCATAGCAATCTCTCTCCAAGGCGCTGCAGGTTCAGCTACCTTCTGCAATAGACCTGGGGATTTCCCCTGGCGTCTTTTTGCTGCTGCACAAATGGGGCAGCTGCTACATAGCTTTCTATGTCCTTTTTTAGTGATGGCCACCAAAATTGTCTTTTAATCAGGTGTAAAGTTTTCACAAACCCAAAATGTCCAGCTAATTTGGAGTCATGGCACCGTACCATTAAGCATAGCCTTTGGCTTGCAGGGACATACAACTTCCCCCCCACCCAAGCCAAGTCTTCTTTCATCAGACAGCTGGATTTGTTGTTCAAAAACCATTCATCAGTGGCCAATGCTTGTTTAAAATTTTGGGTGATGTCATTGTCTGTCACTGTTTCTTGTTTTTCCTGGGATCTGGTGACTACTTTAGCGGCTAGTTGACTGTTTTGTACTATAGGTTTGATTACGTCTGACCTTGCACGAATGTATTGCGGTTTTCTGGATAGCGCATCCGCCAGAAAGTTTTTTCCCCCCGGGAGGTATTTTAGAGTAAAATCAAACCGTTTAAAGTACTGAGCCCATCGTACTTGTTTTGGGGAGAGTTTCCTTGGGGTCTTTAGGGCTTCTAGATTTTTATGATCAGTCCAGACTTCAAAAGGGGTCTTACTGCCTTCTAGGAAGTGCCGCCAGGTTAACAATGCCCAACGAACTGCATACGCCTGTTTCTCCCAAATGGCCCACCTTTGCTCAGTCTCATTCAACTTTTTGGATGTGTAAGTGCAGGGTTGTAGTTGGTCTTGCTCATTCTTCTGAAGCAGGACCTCTCCTATTGCCACATCGCTGGCATCTGCTTGTATGACAAATGGTTTCTCCGTGTCCGGGTGTTGTAGAATTGGTTCTGCTGAGAACAGCCGTTTAAGTTTTTCAAATGCTGCCTGGCATTCCATAGTCCAGTTCAATGGTTGCTTTGGTTTAGGGTTGTCCTCCCCCTTTGTTTTTAAGAGCTTGGTGATGGGGAGGGCAATCTGAGCGAACGCAGGGATAAACTGGCGGTAAAAGTTAGCAAACCCCAGGAAGCTCTGTAACTGTTTACGTGTGCGTGGAGGGTCCCAATCAAGTACAGCCTGCACTTTTAGAGGATCCATCTCAACCCCCTGGTGTGAAATGCGGTATCCCAAATAGTCAATCTTCTCTTGATGGAATTCACATTTGGAAAGTTTGGCATAAAGTTTGGCAGCACGGAGTTTGTTTAAAACTGCCCTGACTAGTTTTACATGTTCTGCTTTGGTCTCGGTATAGATTAAAATGTCATCCAAATAGACCAGAACCCCCTTATATAAATGCTGATGCAGCACTTCATTTCTTAACTGCATAAACACTGCAGGAGTCCTTGCAACCCAAAGGGGAACACCTTGAATTGGTAGCAGCCGAGGGGGGTGTTAAATGCCGTTTTCCACTCATCCCCTTCCTTAATTCTGACATGGTAGTAAGCCTCCCTTAAGTCCAGCTTTGAAAAAAATTTCCCTTTAGCGAGGTGTGCTAACATATCTTTCATAAGGGGGAGAGGATACACGTTCTGCACACTGATAGTATTAATGTTCCGGTAGTCAACGCATAAGCGTTTTGAACCATCTTTTTTCTCTCTAAACAACACTGGGGCTGCAATTTTTGGTCGGGCTGGCTCGATGAAACCCCTTGCTAGGTTTTTCTCAATGAATGTTCTCAGCTCTTCCAACTCCCTCGGTGACATGCTGTACATCTTGGGTTTAGGGAGTTTCGCGCCGGGTAAGATTTCTATTGCACAGTCAGTGGCACGGTGGGGGGGGAGCTCATCTGAGGCTTTTTCGCTAAAAACCTCAGCTAAATCTTGTATTCTATGGGTATGCCCTCAGTTGGTGTGGCGTGACCAGGCATGGCCGTTTCTCGATTCTCTGCCCCCTCAAGTCCTTTATGTGGATACTCAGCAAAAGTCACCTTCCTCTGAAATTTTATGATGCCTTGTTTCCAATTGATTTGTGGGTCCCATCTTTTTAGCCACGCAAGGCCCAGAACCAACGGCCATTCCATGCCAGGTGCCACTATAAAGGTAAACCTTTCCTCGTGGCTTCCAATGCCTATATGTAGAGGCACGGTGGCCAGAGAAGCTGGCTCCCCTCCTGCTATTGACCCATGTGGTTGGCAGAAAGCAATGGGGATTTTCAGCTTTCTTACGTTAATCCCTAACTTCCCTACTAAGGTTGGGCTGATCAAACAACGGGTGCACCCCGAATCCACTAGGGTGGGGATACTTATCTCCCTGTCCTGGTTTGGGATAAATAGTCTTAAGGGGAGGGTAAGCGGTTTAATTGGTTTGCTTACCAGTGGCTCATCATCTGGATCGCTTCCGAACGAGTGTGATTCCTCCTGTTCAGATGCCAGGGTTTCTTCCCCAAAGAGGGGAGGGGATGGGACTTCTATGGCCTCCCTGCTCCTCAGGGCAGTCTCCTTCCCACGCCGACCCGGTTTTCCAGGACCCTCCCCCGGTGGGTGGTTCCGGGCGGGTATTTGCGAACGACACTCTGCAGCTCGGTGCCCTTCTTTTCCACACTTGAAACAGGCTGAAGATCTCGGGGAGAATGCGGTTTGTGGTTTGTGGGGCTCTTGCTTCCATTGGGGTGAGGATTTCTTCCATGCTCGCCCCGCTCGATACTGGTTTCTGGCCATATCGATCTCAGCTTCTTCGGCGGTGACATACCATTCATGTAGGTCATTCGGTGCCCCTCGGGCCACGCAGGCATTGTATAGATCATCACTCAGTCCGTCCTTGAAACAGCTCACCAAAATATCTTCCGGCCAGTGCACACGACACGCGAGGTCCCAGAATTCTTCAGTGTACTCTGCTACTGGCCGTCGCCCCTGCCTCACCACCTTAATGCGGTCACGTGCTTTGCGATCTGCCAGTGGGTCCTCGAACCGACGTCGCAGGGCCGTCATGAAATGGTCGAAATTCCACAGTTCTGGTGCGTTGGCATTATGTAGGGTCACCATCCATCTGGCTGCGGCACCCTCTAGGGCTAGGGTCACAACTCGCACTCGGGATCCTTGGGTTTGGAAATCACGCCCATACTCTTGCATGTAGGTGAGCACATGTGCCACAAAGAATCCTAATTGTTGCGGATTCCCATCAAACTTCACCCCAAGAGGGGGAATTTCTCTTTCCAGCTGAGGAGCCCGGGGTTGATTGGGAATGGGCACCGGTGTGCGTGCTGCCTGGGGGGGAGGGTTTGCTGGGTCTTCTCCCGTAGCTGCTGCACCATCTGCTCGATAGGCGGCCTCCAGGAGGGGGGTGCCTCCCCTGGCATCATCCATGACTGCTGCCCTTTCAGTGCTCTTTGGTTGTTGTCCTGGCTCCCTTCGGATGTTAAGATTTTCCAAAGTCTCCATCACCAATCGGGTTACATGCCTCTTCAGATAGTCCTCCCTCAGGGGTGCTTCGGTCAGCCCCCCCTGGTCAGTAAGGGCTTCTAGTTCCAGTTTCCACCCCGGTTTTCGGTTGCCACGGTTGAGGGTGACTCCTCTGGTTCTCTCATCCCAGCCATCTTTCTTCCCGATGCCAATTGACCAGCGGGGCTTTTCAGGATTCTCCAGGGTTACCTCATCCTCTCCGATGGGTCGCACGAGGCAGGCATCCGACTGGGTGGCGGTTACTGTCTCTCCCCAGCAATCGGTTTCTCCCAGCTCTCTGCTTTGTTCAGACATAGTTTGCAAGGTCCCCTCAGTAGAGCAAAGATTGCTTCTCTGGGTTGACCGTTTTGCAGATTGTGCTTTCTGTAAGGATCTCCTCTCCTTCCAACCTAAGAAAGTAGAACTCTTGAAACGTAGTTATTCAAAAGGATTCTTTTATTAAGCAGAAGTGAAAACCATCCAGCTAAATCACAATCTGAATGCCCTTAGGCAAAGCAGTAGGATTAAAGTGGTAGAGACCCCTCCCTTTAAGTCAGAATGCAGATTTTAGCCAATACACAAGTGGGAAGAGGTTTTCTTTACTATTTCTTTTGAGAACCCGAACAAACATGCATTCCCACCACTACCCTTTAAAGTGAGACAACCCACATGACTATCATATAAATTCCTGCAGGTAAAGGGAATCTCAGGCTTCCTTGGCGCCAGGATATAGGTTGTAAAATATATGATGACACAGGCCATGCTAGTAAATCGAATCCACATCCCCCCTTCCTTCACTTGAATGGCAGTATCACTTTTAGGGATCTGACAGGATGCTGAACCCCCTAGTCACATGATCCTCTTTTGGCCAAATGTTGAGGGATCCAGCAATTAGGAGACTCAGAAAGAAACCAACTTGGATCTTATCAAAATTGCATGATTCCCTGTTTCCTTTTTCCAACAATAATGTATTGGAATGAGAGGAAATTCATTAGCAGGAAGGAACCATTGGAGGAGATTCTCATCCTTACGTCCTGTTTAACTGGAGCTGGTCTGCTTTTGTGCATGAATTCCTAGTTCTTCTATCTAGGAACAAGAATTGTCCTGCATCAAATAGACTCCATGTAGTTGCTATTTAAAAACACACTTGTGAGTCACACATAGCGACTTTACGTATTTATTTGGATTCTCCATTTATTATTTTTACAAATAAGGTGGAGAACACATGCAGCAAAATGAAGGAGAACGCCTGCAAGAAGCCAAGGTCTTCTAGCAATGGTGACACCTTCCTCCTCTCTTCCCCCAACAACAGCCCTGTGAGGTGGGCTGGACTGAAAAGGGAGCTGTGCAACCCTTGAACTCAGGGTCTCTTCTTTCTCCCCTCCCAGCCTTCATCCCTGGCTCCCCTTCAGAGGTTGCTATGAGGTCGCAGCCCCAGAAGAGCCCCTGACCTCCCCCTCCCTCAATACAGAGCGGGGGAGGGGGGGAGATCAGACCACAAAGTTGAAGGGGAGCTCCCCGCCCCACCCCACTTCCACGTCCTCGGCACTGCGCAGGAGCCGTCTGGTTGATTGGAGAAAGGAGGACGCCCATTGGTCGTTCTGAGGAAGGCAGCGATTGGTAGGGTGACTCCGTGGGGCCGATCCTCTGGACGAAGAAGTGAAGTATTTGGAGAGAAAATTAAAACGGGCAAAAGGGAGCTCCCTGAATCGACGACAGAGTAGCGCGGATGATGCAGGTTTGGCGCAGGGAATGCTGGGAGTTGAAGTCCGGGAGAGTGTCTCTGAATAAGGCAGGCCAGGGATCCTGAGGCCTAGTCTTGAGGGCGGGGAGGGAGACGGGAGGCTGGGAAGGAGGCCGTGTCCGCCTGGAGAATGCCCAAGAGGCCCGTGGGAGGCAGGGGCCTGGGCCTGGCCTGCCCTGCAGGGAAGGGGACGCAGCCGTGACCCTCTTCTCTTTCTCCCCTGCAGGAAGATGGACGATGGTGGCGGATGCAGGAAAGAGGCGCCGCCCAGGAGGAGGAGGAGGAGAGCGGGCCCCGTGGAGCAGCCTTGCCCGGTCCCGGCGCGGCTTCCGTGGGAGATGGCAGGGAAAGGCCGGGGGGCTCCGGGGACGCAGGAGGGAGGAGCCCAGGGGAAGCCCGGGAAAGGCGGCTGCCTAGAGGGCGATGCAGGGAGGAGGAAACGGGCGGAGACGCCGAGATGAGCCTGGAGGGCGGAGGCTCCTTCGGAAGACCCCCAAAGCCCCGAAGGATCCAGAAGGGAGGAAGGAAACATCAATGCCCCGAATGCGGAAAATCCTTCAAAACAATTGGCCATCTTGAAAGTCATTTAAGGATCCACATAGGAGAAAAACCTCATAAATGCTTTCAGTGTGGAAAGAGCTTCAGTCAGAGGGGACATCTTTATAAACATCAAAGGATCCATTGGGTAGAAAAACCTCATAAGTGCCTGGTGTGTGGAAAGAGCTTCAGTTGGAGGAGCAACCTTTATACACATCAAAGGATCCACTGGGGAGAGAAACCACATAAATGTCTTGATTGTGGAAAGAGCTTCAGTAGGAGAGGGACTCTGCACAGACATGAAAGGATCCATTCAGGAGAGAAACCGTATCAGTGCTGGGAGTGTGGAAAGAGCTTCAATCAGAGAGGAAATCTTTACATGCATCAAACAATCCATTCAGGAGAAAAACCACATAAATGTCTGGAGTGTGGAAAGAGCTTCAGTAGGAGAGAAACTCTGTATGAACATCAAACAATTCACACAGGAGAAAAACCACATAAATGCCTGGAGTGTGGAAAGAGTTTCACTCGGAGAGGAAATCTTTACCTGCATCAAAAAATCCACTGGGGAGAGAAACCGTATCAATGCCTAGAGTGTGGAAAGAGTTTCAGTCAGAATGGACAACTTTCCCAGCATCAAACAATCCATTCAGGAGAAAAACCACATAAATGTCTTGATTGTGGAAAGAGCTTCAATTGGAGAGGGAGTCTGCACAGACATGAAAGGATCCACTCAGGAGAGAAACCGTATCAGTGCTGGGAGTGTGGAAAGAGCTTCAATCAGAGAGGAAATCTTTACATTCATCAAACAATCCACTCAGGAGAAAAACCACATAAATGTCTGGAGTGTGGAAAGAGCTTCAGTAGGAGAGAAACTCTGTATGAACATCAAACAATTCACACAGGGGAAAAACCACATAAATGCCTGGAGTGTGGAAAGAGTTTCACTCGGAGAGGAAATCTTTACCTGCATCAAAAAATCCACTGGGGACAGAAACCGTATCAGTGCCTGGAGTGTGGAAAGAGTTTCAGTCAGAAAGGACAACTTTCCCAGCATCAAACAATCCATTCAGGGGAAAAACCAAATAAATGCCTGGAGTGTGGAAAGAGTTTCAGTCAGAAAGGACAACTTTCCCAGCATCAAACAATCCATTCAGGAGAAAAACTACATAAATGTCTTGATTGTGGAAAGAGCTTCAGTAGAAGAGGAAGTCTTTACCTGCATCAAAGAATCCACACAGGAGAAAAACCACATAAATGCCTTGAGTGTGGAAAGAGCTTCAATCAGAGAGGAAATCTTTATATTCATCAAACAATCCACTCAGGAGAGAAACCGTATCAGTGCCTGGAGTGTGGAGAGAGTTTCAGTCAGAGAGGAAAATTTTCCCAGCATCAAACAATCCATTCAGGAGAAAAACTACATAAATGTCTTGATTGTGGAAAGAGCTTCAGTAGAAGAGGAACTCTTTATAGACATCAAAGGATCCACACAGGAGAGAAACCACATAAATGCCTGGAGTGTGGAAAGAGCTTCAGTAGGAGAGGAAGTCTGCAGATACATCAAAGGATCCATACAGGAGAGAAACCACATACATGCCTGGAGTGTGGAAAGAGCTTCAGTAGGAGAGGAAGTCTGCAGATACATCAAAGAATCCACACAGGAGAAAAACCACATAAATGTCTGGAGTGTGGAAAGAGTTTCAGTCAGAAAGGACAACTTTCCCAGCATCAAAGGATCCACTCAGGAGAAAAACCACATAAATGCCTGGCGTGTGGAAAGAGCTTCAGTCAGAGGGGAAACCTTTATAAACATCAAAGGATCCACTCAGGAGAAAAACCACATTAATGCCTGGAGTGTGGAAAGAGCTTCAGTCAGAGGGGAAACCTTTATAAACATCAAAGGATCCACTCAGGAGAAAAACCACATTAATGCCTGGAGTGTGGAAAGAGCTATATTGAGCATAGTAGCCTCAATCGACACCAAAGAATTCACGTGGGAGAAAAATCATAAACATACCTGAGTGTGAGAAAACCTTCAGTCACGGTGTATCTTGGGAATTGAATTGTATATTTAATTTGGCTAAGTGTGTATAGACACCCTAGGAATTTACCTAGTGCATATTCATCATCATTATAATAATTCCAATAAGAGGAATTATTGCTCTTTACTCCAAATGATTAAAGAAGACAATAAGGATAAATAATAACTGCCAAATAAAGGACTTTTTCAATTGTACATGCTAGATGTTTCAACTGGTTTAAATTGTACCTTTTCACAACAGACATGCCATTTCCCATGTGAATGTTCTTTTAATGCAAGGCTCATTTCAGTGATTATGCTTAATATTATGGGTTGTTACTGTCCATGTCTCTGATATAACCATAATTGAGCAGGATGATTTCTTCCAAGGTGGATTTCATTTAAATCACGTTGATTTAAATCATGTCAATTTAAATCATTATATAAATCGCTATTAAAAAGATTTAAATCAACTTTTTAAATCATAATTTTTAAAAAGCAACTGTCATGTCTGTCCCGCAGCAGCTCCTCCTCTGAGCCGCTGTTGACTCGCCGACAGTCCCATTTATTTTAATAGGGCGGCTGGTGATGCATCAGTGACACAACCAGGTGAGGGACGTGGCTGGCAGCAGGTGAGTGGATGCCCTCTCACAGGCCCTGCCATGATGGATCTGAAATGACAGGTGCTCTTTAATGTTATATTTATAAGCTGCTTAGGAGGTTTCACTTCCATTTTTACTGCTTGCCCTTCCCCCTCACACTTAGAGGCTGAGGGTACAGGTGCATTTCTCTTCCAACAATCATACAGTTTGTAGTCTACATACAGTGTATTTGAAGAAAAATGGGGAAAAGGAATATTCCTGCCCTTTGCTTTATGAGTTATCTCATGGTTACTGTGAAACTCTGTGGATGTATCAATGCAGTGCATGTTATTTCAGCTTGCGGTGCTTGGATTCATTGAATGAGTTTAGCAGAAATGTAAATATTGCAGAATATACAGCTTCATGCTACATAACTAAGCTCCATTTCAACCTGAATAGACTAAATTATTAATGTATCTTAAATGGAAAATTATCTTTATGATTCTTGATGAACGTATCTTTTCTTTTATGTACACTGAGAGTATATGCACCAAGACAAATTCCTTGTGTGTCCAATCACACTTGGCCAATAAAAAACTCCTATTCTATGCTATGCTATGCTATGCTATGCTATGCTATGCTATGCTATGCTATTCTATTTGAATAGCATAGCATAGCATAGCATAGCATAGCATAGCATAGTATAGCATAGAAATCCCAATGGGATTTTTATCCCAAAAGTATTTTATTAAAATAAATTTGATAAAAAATAACAAAAATATCCCATTTAAATCAAAATTATGATTTATTTATTTTTTTTAATCAATTTTTATCCACCCTTATTTCTTCCATGCAATCAACTCTTATTTTGTACTTTTTCTATTGTATGGAGTATAAAATGAAACCCGATTCTGTGTCCTAGATTCCCTCTTTTCATTAAGGGAAATCTCTTTGCTACAATAATCTAATAAATTGCCTTTAAATATTCCCACTCAGTGCCTGATTGAAGCAAGTGTGCTGTGGCTGAATCTAGGGCTAATTTGGCCTCCATTGTTGGGGGTGTGAACTGTCCATACCATGTAAGACCCTCCACAGACATCAGAAACTCTTGTCAATTGGATTCTCTCAAAGGTCCCCTTGTCTTCCAGCAGAAACTGCTAAAGGGACTCTCTAAGGCCAAGGAAGCTTTGTGAGATACCAGCCAGATTCTCAAAGGGCCTCCAACCTTTCACCCTTAAACACCCGGCTTTTCCCCAGGCGCTGGGAGGTCAGACAAGGAGAAGTTGGCATGGATTGGCGCCTGGCTTTTCTTTGTTTTCATTTTCCATGTTTTAATGTGTTGTATTGTTTTTTTAAAACAGCTTTTTTGGCACTGCAGTGAGTTGACTGAAAGTCCCCCATTACTAGGCTTTCTCTTCATCAGCTAAATCGGCGTCCGCCTTCCTTCAAGCAGCCAGAGGGCGCCTGCACAAGTCCCGAGTCCCGTGTAGAGGTGAGGCGGGGGGCTCCCTTTGATCTTTGGGGTCCGGTCTCCCCTTCGCCCCCCCCCTGCATTCTGGCAGGCAGAGGTTGAGGGGCCCTTCTGGGACTGGGACTCCCCCCCCCATCCAGGCTCCCTCCCTAGGCAGGGTGGGGGGGGCAGAGGTTGGAGGGGCACCCAGGCAGGTAAGAGGCGAAATGGGCATTTTCACCCTTGCAATACAACTCTGGTAAATTGGCTGCAAATAGAGGGAAGATTTCCCAGAGTCCAGGAGCCCTTCAGAAACCAACCTACCTCTCCGAAGGCATCTTCACTCTGATAACTGATGGTAACTGGCAGTTGAGCCTGCATTCATGAAGCTTTTCTTTGAAGATGTTTCACTTCTCATCCAAGAAGCTTCTTCAGTTCTTCAGAACCAAAGAAGCTTCTGGGATGAAAAGCAAAACACCTTCAAATGAAAAAACCAGAAAGTCCAGTTGCCTCCTGAGCAAAGCACCTTTGGGACAATCCTGACCTGGATGACGGAGAATCTCTACAGACTTTTACCGATGCAATTGGGCTGAACCCCCTTTGCATGGTGTGGGGGCAGGAATGGATTTCCAGAGGGGAAAATTGCAGACTGCAAGAACCATTCGCACCACTCGGGTGACCCTGAGGAGACAGATAAACCTCCAGGGGCTTCAGCCACCCTCTCAAAGTTTGGGGATTGAGTGGAACTGCAAGATGGAAACAGTTGTGGGCAGCTGGACAGCTTTTCTCCCAAAATGGGCTAGTTTTGCCGGATTGTTTCAGGAAATTTTTTGACCTCTGTGGGTTCCAATTTGGGGGCTATTTTGGATTATTTTTAAAGCACTGTAGAGATAGTCCTTGACCTACAACTATTTGCTTAGTGACTTAGTGAAGTTATAGCACGACTGACAAAAGTGGCCTTGGCCAGTTTTCACACTTATGACTGTTCCAGCATCCCCGTGGTCATGTGGTCAAAATCCAGGCGTTTAGCCACTGGCATGTATTTATGACGGCTGCGCTGTCCCAGGGTGACTTCATCAGTATTGGTATCTTTCACATCTGGTGTCTCACAAAGTCATTGGACATAATGACATAACAACTTCACAACTCACTTCACAACTGTAGGATATGAGCTGCCAATTATGGCAAAAAAATTCTCACTAAAGCAGCTCAGTTCTCATATTTTTGCATAAAAGGCAGATTTTTGTATGTAGACTGCCTCTGTCAAGGGAAGCTCCACTTTTTTTTTTTTTTTTGAGAAAAATATTTCCTTTTAATTTTTAAACAAACAATTCATCATTAATCAATCAGTGTAACATCTTGGTACAACATTTATTTAAAAATTTAAAGACAGTTTATCTTTGAACATTTTTGCCAATCTTTCCAGTGACATGTTTTATAGATGGCACATATCACCGGAAATAGATCGGCAAAAATGTTCAAAGATAAATCAGCTAAATGTTGGAAATGCCACCGGACATCGGGACCGTACTATCACATGTGGTGGACATGTCCAGAAGCGAGAAATTATTGGGCAAAAATTCGAATATGGCTAGAGAAAATGATACAGCAAAACATTGATCTTAAACCGGAGCTGTTCCTATTGGGTATCTTACCAGAGAAATTTAGTAGAGAAAATGCATATTTAATTATACATGTAATAACGGCAGCAAGAATGGTATTTGCACAAAATTGGGAAGCAGAAAATTTAAAGAAAGTTTATCTTTGAACATTTTTGACAATCTTTCCGGTGACATGTTTTATAGATGGCACATGTCATTGGAAATAGATTGGCAAAAACGTTCAAAGATAAATCAGCTAAATGTTGGAAATGCCACCAGACATCGGGATCGTACTATCACATGTGGTGGACATGTCCAGAAGCGAGAAATTATTGGGCACAATAATCACAATAATCACAAAAACTGATACAGAAACACATTGATCTTAAACCGGAGCTGTTCCTGTTGGGTATCTTACCGGAAAAATTTAGTAGAGAAAATACATATTTGATTATACATGTAATAAAGGCAGCAAGAATGGTATTTGCACAAAATTGGGAAGCAGAAAAAATTCCTACAAAGGGAGAGCTAATTAAGAAAATATTAGAATGTGCAGAAATGAGTAGATTAACATTAGCAATTAGTGGGAAGGAAGAATCGGAGTGTTACAACATATGGGGGCAATTTTATCAATGGATAGAGACTGAATATAGACAATAGGCAGTGTAAAAATAAGAAATATGGGGGAAATATGTTGCAATACATTAAATTTAAATGTAAGAGGAAAGATAAATATGTACTAAGAAAATGATGATACATGTTGAATATGATGACACGGAAGCTCCACTCATTAATGTAGCTCTGGATAAACTTCTCATCACACCCTTTGTGTTGCCATGTTGTTTTGTGCTTTGTTCCATCATCCCAGGTGAGCTCCCTCCATTATTTCTGCTTAGGTGAGGCATCTTTTCCTGAATCCCAAAGCAATACAGCAATCCAGGACAGAAAGCAAAATCCCACCTCCCTTGAACCACTTCTGCAAAAACAAAATACTGCATAGCTTAATGATGCTGAACCCCCAAAGCACATGACCCTCTTTTGGCCAAGTTCCAAGTGTTGAGGGATCCAGCAGTTAAAGGGACCCAGAAAGAACCCAATTTGGATCCTATCAAAATTGCCTGATTCCCTGCCTCCTTTTTCCTTTTTTTTTTTTTTTAAACAAACTTTATTCGTATTTAAAAAAAGAACATTTAAAACAATTATAAGAAAAACTGAACAAGTTTTTCTTAATCAAACACACAAATTACAAGTACATATACTATACATATATAATGCTCAACTTCATCTATCAACTACTTTCTAATGTTATATATACATATATATATATATACACACGGTGACTTATTTCTTTCTATATCTCTCTGACAGTGCAGTTGTTTATTTACATTAATTTCTCCTAACTTTCATCTCTAAACATTCCCTCTCTCTGACTTATCCACTGGTACCAGCTATTCCCTATTTTAAAGTATTTTGAATCTTCCTTATCCTGTAATTTTAGGGTTAATTTATCCATCTCTGCGCATACATAGATTTTCTGTATTACTTCCTGATCAGTTGGCAAACGGTCTATTTTCCAAAGTTGTGCCAACGCTAATCTTGCCGCTGTTATAATGTGGAGTATTAGGTATTTTATGTCCTTCCTAATATTCTTATTGATCATGCCGAGTAAAAAGACTTCAGGTGTTAATTCAATTTCGTGATTTGTTATCTCTAATATCCATGTTTTTATTTTGTTCCAGTATTTTTTGATTTTTGGGCAAAGCCACCAAGCATGGTAAAAAGTTCCCTGCGCTTTTTTACATTTCCAGCAGGCCGGGTTCACATTTGGATACATTTTTGCTAACCTTGCGGGTGGCAGATACCATCGGTACCACATTTTATAATGATTTTCTTTGTATGATACTGATTTTGTCATTCTATAGTTATCTTCCCATGCTCTTTCCCAATCTTCTAATTGTATATTATGCCCTATGTTCCTCGCCCAGGCTATCATCTGCCCTTTGACCAACTCTTCTGCCAGATCGAATTCGAGTAAATATTTGTAGATTTTTGAAATTAATTTCCCTTCTTTTGATTCTAATAGTTTGTCTAATCGATTTTGTTTTAAATCTATTCCTTCTTCTTCTTGATCTTTTCTGAATCTTACTTTTATTTGCGAGTAGGGCCACCAGTCTATTCCTATTCCTTGTTCTTTGAGCTCTTCCCTAGTTTTCAATTTCCCCTGAACATCTACTATTTCTCTGTATCTTAGAATCTTTTGTTTTGATAATATGTTGGGGTGAGTTATTGCTTCTATAGTCGATAGCCAGCCGGGAATTTTCATGTAGTGTTTTTGTTTAATTTGTAGCCATGTGTTAATTAAAGATCTCCTAATTGTATGGTTATTAAAATGTTTATATATTTTATTTCCTGAACTCCATATAAAAGCGTGCCATCCCTTCATTAAATCATGCCCTTCTAAATTTAACAATCTTTGATTATCTAAGGTTATCCAATCTTTAATCCATAATAAACTGGCGGCCTTGTAATATTTATCCCATGCCGGGAGTCCAAATCCACCTCTACTTTTATCATCTTGTAGTATATTCAATTTTATTCTTGATTTCTTCCCTCCCCACACGAATTTTTTTGTTATTTTATCCAAATTATCAAAGAATTTCTTATCTAATTTTATTGGAACTGTTTGGAATAAATAAAGGAGTCTTGGCAGTATGTTTGATTTTATTGCTGCTATTTTCCCCAATAAAGACAATTTTAGTTTCCCCCATTTTTCTAAATCTTCCTTTATTTTCTGGACTAAAGTATCATAATTGTCTTCTTTTATTGTTGTCGTTTTGGCCGTCAAATTTATCCCTAGGTATTTAACTTTTTTAACTGTCTGCAGACCGGATTCTTTTACTAATTTCTCTACCTGTTTTGTTGTCATGTTTTTTGTTATCATTTTTGTCTTTTCTTTATTAATTTTTAAACCTGCTACCTTTCCAAATTTTTCAATCTCTTTTATTAATTTTGGTGTTGTTTCTAATGGGTTTTCTACGAAAAAAACAAGGTCGTCTGCAAATGCTTGGACCTTGTAATCCTCTCTCTTGATCTTTAGTCCTTGAATTTCTTTATTTGCTCTAATTCTGATTAGTAAATTTTCCAATGTTAAAATAAATAGTAAAGGGGAGAGTGGACATCCCTGCCTTACTCCCTTATTTATTCCAAAAAATTTTGTTGGGTCACCATTCACCAAAACACATGCTTTCTGATTCTGATATATCGATGTTATCATTTTAGTGAATCTTTCTCCAAAATTCATACTTTTGATTTGTTGCTTCATAAATTGCCAATTGACTTGGTCAAACGCTTTTTGTGCATCCAGAAAGATCAGTGCTACCTGTCTCTCTGGATGCACCTCATAATATTCTAAAACATCCAATGCTATTCTTAAATTGTTTTTTATCTGCCTTGTAGGCAGAAAACCATTTTGGTCCTGGTGTATTTTATTTTGTAATATTATTTTCATCCTATTGGCAATTATACTCATGAAAACTTTATAATCGGTATTCAACAAAGAAATCGGCCTGTAATTTTTTATTAATGTGGTATCTGTCCCCTCTTTAGGTATTAAGGAAATATATGCTTCTTTCCATGTGTTGGGTAGCTTTGCCTCCATTAGGGCCTCATTATATATTTCTAACAGTATTCCATTTAATGGATCTCCAAATGTCTTATAGAATTCTATTGGTAAACCGTCTGTCCCCGGGGTTTTGTTATTTTTTTGCCTCTTCAGTGCCTCTTTTAATTCCCCCATCGTAATCTCCTTATTTAATAATTCTCTTTCTTCCTCTGTTAGTATTTGCAATCCCTCCCCTTTTAAATAATATTCGATTTCCTCCTCTGTTGCTATATCCTTTTCGTACAATTTTTGATAATATTGGACTATTATGTCTTTTTTTCCCTCTAGAGCCCATTGAATCCTTCCCTCATCATCTCGTAATTTCTGAATTGTTCTTTTTTCTCTTTCCTTCCTCAGCCTATACGCCAGCCATCTCCCTGGTTTGTTTGCGTTTTCGAAATAGTTTTGTCTTGTATATTTCAATGCTGTTACATAATTCCCCTGCTCTAATATGTTTAGGTTATGTTTTGCTGTTAACCAATTTAACCTTGTTTTTTCATCCCCTGGGTTTCTTTGCAAATTACATTCCCAATTTTGAATTTCTTCTAATAATTTATTATATTCTTTCTCTCTCTCTTTTCTCCGTTTTACATTATATGATATCGTGAGGCCTCTTACATATGCTTTGGTTGTATCCCATAGGTTTTGTAGGGAAGTTTGTTGCTTTGTGTTTTCCTTATAAAACCATTCTAGCTCCTTTTCTATGTAATTCTTATACTCTTTTTCTTGCAGTGTCTGTGTGTTCATAGTCCATCTATTCTTCTTTCTCTGCTGGCCTCTCCACTTCATCGTTATCGGGTTGTGGTCAGCCCAATTATTTGGTAAAATATCTACTTCTTCTATTTCCGTTATTAACATCTTAGTTACCCAAACCATATCCAACCTTGACCATGATTTATGCGGATTCGAATAATATGTATACTTTCTTGCTTCGGGGTTAAGACATCTCCAGCTATCTACCATATCTAACTCTTCCACCATATCCATAAAGGTTTTAGGTAATATATTTTTTTTATTTTTGTTTTGCTGACCACATTCATAGTCTTTTCTTACATCTAAGATTGCGTTAAAATCCCCAATCAAACAGACATTCTCCATTTTTTGTTCTATAATTTTCTCATGCACTTTTTTGTAGAATTCTAATTGTTGACTATTTGGGGCGTATATTACTACCAATAATATCTTTTTGAGGTCAAGATTTAGCTCTACCATGACTATCCTACCTTCTGTATCCGCATACCTCATATTACTGTCTATTCCTTCCTTAATATATACCACCACTCCTTTTTTTTTTCCTCTGCCAATGAAGCGTATTCTTTACCTAATTTTTTATATTGTATATATTTAATATCCTGTTTTCTTATATGTACCTCCTGGAGGCACACAATGTCTGATTTTTGTTTCAAAATTTTTTTGTAAGTTTGGTGTCGTTTGGATGGTGAGTTGAGTCTATTAACATTTACAGATAGTATTTTTAAAGTCCGTTCCATTTTTTTTTTTTTATTGACTTTCCTGTTGTTTCTTCTTTATTTCTTCCTGTTCCTTTTTTTTACCTCTTGTCTGCACTCCTTCCTCTTCCTGGGTCTCTTCTTCATCTACTTTCCCTCCTTGTTGTGGTGTTCTTTCCCGATCTCTCTTCTGTTTTCCTTTGATATTTCGTCCTTCTTCTTCTCTATTACCATTTGTTGCTTCAGCACCCATCATTTGGTCATATAGTTCTTTTGCTTTGCTGTGCGAGTCCACCTTGATTTTCTTTCCCTGCCACGTTATTAACATTCCTTCCGGGGTTATCCATTTAAATGGTATATATCTTCTGTTTAGTAACGTGGCCAGGAACCAATAATCTCTTCGCAAATCTCGTATTCTTTTAGGTACTTGCTTTAGGGTGATTATTTCTTTATTTCTATAATACATTGGTTCATCCTTTGTTATCTTATATACAATATCCCTCACCTTCCTTCTTACAAATCTTATGTGTACCTCTCGAGGGAGTTTGTTTTGTCGTGCATAGTTAGTGTGGACTCGGTAAACTTCGTCTAGTTCATTAATTATCTCGTCTTTTCTCTCTGGAGTGCCTCTGCTATCATCTCAGCCATTACCATCGTCAGATCTTCCTCCCGGTCTTCCGCTACGTTCTGAAAACGCAAATAGAATGCTGCTTCTCCA